TAGGGTAAGCACATAACAGTAACCATTTTTGCCAATTCTTCACGATCTTTATTTGGATCGTAATATAAAATGCCACTGGTAACAATGTTAATTCCCGGTTGAGCTAGATTTGACCCGGTACTAGGGTTAACCTCAGTACCTACACTTCTCCCCTCTTGCACAGCTTTCATTTGAAGTTATCTAGCTTTATCTCTAGGGTGTTTCTTTATGTTTCTAGTCAAACTACCCGTACCGCTACGGTCTCCAGTATATTTATGAGCTGTCACGACCCTAGTTCACCAACCGTGAACATGTCGTGACGGCACCTGGTCCCCATGACCAGGTAAGCCTAACATTTGCGGAAATATAGTAATTGCGGAAAAATAGAGAAAATCAAATCAAATATCTAAAGGAAATTGTACTGAATGCCGCTTGGAAAGTACAACTCAATATCACAAGTCTAAAATAATTCCCAAAACCCGGAAACTCACGGGCAACACAGGCTACAGAAGTGTATAGTAAGGTTCCAAACTCCAGAATTTCTAACAACCGAAAGAAGGAAAACTAAGTACTAAAGATAGAATAAGAGGGAGACTCGTCGGTCTGCGGACGCAGCAGATCTACCTCGAAGTCTCCGTAGTCCTCCTGCCTCACTGATAGTGCACCTGAGTAGAGGTACCTGGATGATCTGCACATGAAAAACATGCACAGGAAGGGCATGAGTACACCACAGCGGTACTCAGTAAGTGCCAAGCCTAACCTCGGTTGGGTAGTGACGAGGAAGGTCAGGGCCATACTGAGACAAATATAGTAATAACAATAATTAACAGTATGATAATCTGACAGAAATAATAAATACAGCAGTGAAATAAGACAGGTTAAACAAGGCAATAGCAAATACACAAGAACGGAACAACCACAGAATAAGTACAGCTCAATACCAACGGTAACAACGAGGATCTCCCAGGATACCGTCCTGTAGTCCTTTTCACAACTGTCCAGTGGATCTCCTGGGATACCGTCCCGTAGTCCATCATATGTGTATATCCGAAGGATCTCCCGGGATACCGTCCCATAGTCCAACTATCAATGTGCAGGGGGATCTATCGGGAATCTAACCCGCAGTCCCAAAGTAAAAGTGCAGGGGGATCTACCGGGAATCGAACCCGTAGTCCCAAAGTAAACAAACAAGGGGGGGAGCTACCGGAATCCCACATCCGTAGTCCCAATGTAAATGCGCAATCACAACCAGAAGATACACAGAAATGAAGTACAAAGACAAGCAACGGGTAGTACTGGCCTAACATGCCTCATGTAGTACAGTCAAGGCAACTTAAGCAAGTAGGCAAGTTAAAACAACTAAACATGCTCTCCTAATCTAGCACATGTTATAGTTGCAAGTAGAATAAAGCAAATATGAAAGAAACTCAATCGCAATATCTTAAGTAAAACCGGATTTTCAACAATTGGCTCAAGTACGCGCTCGTCACCTCGCGTGCAAGGCACTCAAAATACCAAATAACAATATCCTAAGGGGAAAGGTCCCCCACACAAGGTTAGACAAGCTACTTACCTCGAACCGGCTCAATATCAACTAGAAACCACGCTCTTGCCACGAGTATCCGACTCCAAATGGCCCAAATCTATTCAATTCAATTACACATTGTAAATAATATTGCAAACAACTGATTCCGCTAATAAATTTACAGCTAGGGCGCAAAAATAGGTAAAATGACCAAAACGCCCCTCCAGCCAACGTCTCGAAATCGAATAATTTTCACATTTTCAGAACCCTCATACTCTTACGAGTCTAACCATATAAAAATCTCCCAAATCGGAGGTCAAATGCCCACTCAAAACTCAATAGTTTAGGCAATGAAGTTTTTCCCCAAATTAACCAACTTTTGATCCTAAATTCGAATTCCAATGATGTATTTAGCTATATAATGATGAAATATAATGAAAAGGGATCAAGGAAACGTTACCCAATGAGTTTCTCTTCAAAACCCACTCATCGCCTTCTCCCGAGCTCTCAATCGATTTTCAAACTTATGAAATTTAACCCTCGAAATTGATATTTCTGAATAGTCATTTCCGCTTCTGCGGACAAGGGACCGCTTCTGCGGACCACGAGCCGCTTCTGCGGTTTTCATTAAAAATCCAGGGTTCCGTTTCTGCGATCTTAAACCGCACCTGCGGTTGCCGCTTCTGCGAAATACTTACCGCTTCTGCGGTTTCTCACAAAAGACTCGGGGCTGCATCTGCGATAGAAGCCTCGCAGGTGCGTAACCGCATCTACGGTAGATCCTTCGCACTTGCGGAAAAAGCTGAGGGAGCCCAAATTCGCTCCTGCGATGCTAAGGCCGCTTCTGCGGTTCCCAAGCCGCAGAAGCGAAAATACCAGAAGGGAAAAACTTCAGCTGCTGCAACACTTCTCAAATTTTGCCGTTAACCACCCGAAATCATCCCGAGGCCCCCGGGGCCTCAACCAAAAGCACCAATACCACCTAATACCTTATTCGAACTTGTACCAATCCTTAAAACACCTAAAACAACACCGAAAGTCCGATTAAATCAAAGATTCAAGCCTAAGAACTTTAAATTCCAACAAAACACACTTTCGATCAAAAACCTAACCAAACCTCGCCCGAATGACCTGAGATTTTGCACACACATCCCAAATGACATGACGGAGCTACTGCAACTTCCGGAATTCCAATCCGACCCTCGGATCAAAAACTCACTATCGGACCGGAAACTTCAAAAATTCAAACTTCGGCATTTCAAGCCTAAATGAGCTACGAGCCTCCAAAATACATTCCGAACACGCTTCCAACCCCGAAATCACCTAACGGAGCTAACGGAACCATCGGATTTCCATTCCGAGGTCATCTTCACACTGTTCCGATTACGGACCATTTTTCAACTCTTAAGCTCTCATTTAGGGACTAAGTGTCCCAAAACACTCCGAATCCCAACACCGAACGTCCCGGCAAACCAAAATAGCAGAAATGAACTTAAGGGAAGTAGTTAATGGGGGATCGGGGCGTAATTTCCAAAAACAACCGGCCGGGTCGTTACATGAGCCATCAAAGACCCACAAGTTTTACACTTAGCCTTATTTTGTTCTCTTAGTTGAGTATAAAAGTGCCAAACAAGAGATGTTTCGGGCCGTTTAGAAGGTTGTCTATTAAAAGTAGGGGTTACTACAGGAGGGTCAGGCGGGGCATCATTTGGATTATTATCAGTTGGGTTAACAACAGGACTAGTAGGTGTATCATCTAAATCCGGTTGCGTTTCATCTAAATCATCATTTTCCTCATCATTTTCATCGATAGTTTCATTAGGATAAAGAGCATTCATATATTCATCATTTAATTGTTGACCCGGTGCAACATCATGGCAAAATTGACTATCGGTAAATTGAAAACAAGGATTATCACTATCAAGAATAACATGTGGAGGAGGACGGGTAACAGGTCTGGGTCGGGGAGCCGGGGGAGGAGTATTAGCTTGGCGACTAGATTCACCAATTTTAGATTTTCCCTTACCAGCAAATATTTTTTTCAAAGAAAAGGCCATATTAATTATAATTATACAAACTAAAACAAACAAAACTATAATATTAAAACTTAAGAGTTGGAACGAGTTTACCGAATCGACGAACAACTTCTTGAAAATTGTATATCGTTGAAGACTTGAAGACTTCAATTCACCAACTTCACAATTTTTCACAAATTGCAATAATAAAGTAAGCAATTATAGAAGAAAATTAGGGAGAGATTGAGAGAGATTGGTGAGTAAAAATGAAAGAATGAGGGGGTATTTATAGTTGAGAATAGAGAAAAAGTGTAATTATAAAAAGTTTGGGGTTAAAATAAAGTTTGGGGGCCAAATGGCTATTTTTTAAAAAGCCAAACGGCTAAATTGGCAGGCCAACGACTAGTTTTTAAACTTCCAACAGTTGGCCAAATTTTAAAAAAATATTTTTTTTTGAAAAATAGCCGTTGGGCCCGTTTGGCCCGGTTGAACCGACCCAGGCCCGCCAGCCGGTCCCGGGCTAAACGGTCCGGGGCTCGCGGTCTCAACCTGGAGGATCGACCCACAGTGGGCTTTTAGGACCGTTTGAACCGGCCCGTTTGGCCCGTGGTCTCACGGTCCCGGCCCCGGCCCGGCCCACAATACAGCCTTAGACTGGATAGAGTTTTTCTTGCTAATTCATTGCTACCATTGCTTGATTTCTGCCCTCGTTGAATGATCTCATATGATATGGAAGCTTCCTTGGCCATTAGAGCCTTCTGGGATGGGATGCGAGCTCTCTTGCCCATAGTTGGCGCAGGTGCACTGTGAGAGAGAAAGCAAGCCATCCGTAAATTTACTTTTTTTATTGATAACATATTAAGTTAAATTACTACTAAATAAGGAAGTATGATATGCTTTTTGGTACAAACTAAAAAGGAAAGTATAACATATAAATTGGGAGGAAGGG